ACAATCATAAGGAATGTGAGTGGACAAACACAATCTTCACTCCTCATGGACGATGTGTCATGCTTGAGTTGACTATGGATCACTACAGGAATTGGCCAATCCTGTGATTAGCCCTCATATTGTTTTTGTTCCTGAGCTAGCCATCGAGGCTCCAATAAACCGCTTTTCGCAGTGTCAGAAATGGCGAGAAGGTTACGACCGTGATCTCCGTGTGCAGATGATAGCAACAAATGACCGACACTTTTATATTTATGAACCGGTACAGCTTCGGTCGAAACAGCTGGTGGTACCAATGTTTTTCTTCCAAGTCAACGGGTCCCTCATGGCCAAGTGTATGCCTGCAAAAGTGGATTCCGACCCTGAAGACCCTGGATATCTCAAAGTAACGGTTGCAGATGACCCACCCTTTGACTCGCCCCAATTTTTGACTATCAAATGTGAAATGCTTTGGAAGACTTTTGATGAAGTAGAATTGTACGATGGTTACCTACTTAAGACGAATTGTAGAAATGAGTTGTATTGTAAGGATTTTGTGCAATGATCAGATCATGATATGAGTTCAATATTAATGTGTATTACGATGAAATGATTTTAGATAGTAATTTGAATGGTGTGGCCTCACATCCAATTGAAAACAACTGGAGAAAAAAGGCACAAGGGAAAGTCATTCGACATGTCCCAATCACTTTATACTCCGACGACACATCAGGAAACGTGTCAAAAAAGTGGAATAAGCATATGAGTGTATACTTTACACTGTCGGGCTTATCTCCCGAATTTACGAACCAGGAATTCAACATACATTTCTTGAGTACTTCAAACTGTGCTTCGGCTCTTGACTTACTAGATAATGTTGTTGATGAAATCAAGTAAGTGTGTCAATTTGGTTCTTTGGGGTGTATGCGTCTAACCAGGGACACAAATTATTTTATACAGTGATCTTGCTGTCAATGGTATGGTTGCCTACGACCACACCCTTGGGGAAGATGTTGTGGCAATGGTGGTTGTTCTTTGCCACCTCGGCGACTCCCCCATGCATGCCGAGATAACCAACACTTTGAGTCCTGCTAACACCCTCACGCCTTGTCGCATGTGTGATCTTCAAGTTAAAAAAAAGTCAGATAAACAAACGAATAATTATGTGCAGGACTTTCTGGCTTTGGATGAACATTTCTGCAAGGTACGCTTACCTCTCCTGTAATTGCTTCTATGCTTTTAGTTGATTGATGATTTCAGGTCCACAAACCCATCCGCGATTGGAGTGAGACCAAACGGATCACCCATGCTCTTTGGCATACTGGCCAAAAAAGACATACAAAAACGCTTGTCGAAAACATGAGTCGTGAGTTTGGGGTGAAAGATACTGTGACTGATTACTTCTTGAAGAAAGTACAAGTGGCACACGAAAGTCTTCCGCCTCAAGACGTGGAAGGTCTATGTGATCAAATAAATTTGGAACTTGGAGAACGGATCTTCAACCCAATGTTGAGGCTAAAAGGTGAGAGGAAATATTCTCATGCCTTCATTAGATCTTTGACGTTTTGATTCTCTTACCTGGTAGGTTTTGATGGGCATGCTGATACACCGGTAGAGACTCTGCATGTTGTCCTCCTGGGTATAACTAAAAATCTGTTCCGAGATCTCATGAATGAGCTTCCCTCAACGAAATTCGGTTCATCATGCTACAACGATATATCGGCTCGGTGGCGATCATTCAATACTAAAGGGTTGAATATTCCGCCTATAATTCCAAATACCTTGATACAATTCTATCAAAGCCTGGTCGGTAAGGAGTTTCGAACCGTTTTGCAGACGGTTCCCTTTGTTTTGTTTGATCATATGACACCAGAGAAAAGACATGTCTGGACGTCACTATGCTTGCTAGCCTCGTATATATTTCAAACAGATATACCCAATATGGACGAATACTTGAAGGAATTAGATATTCTCATTGATTCTTTCCTACACCTACTTATCTCGGTGTCAGCGCAGTGGGTTAACAAGCCAAAATTCCATATGCTTGTCCACTTGCAACAGTCAATACGCAGATTCGGCCCAGCTTGTCTCTTTGCAACCGAAAAATTGGAATCATTCAATGGAGTCCTCCGTCAAGCTTCAGTGCACTCGAATAGCCTAAGCCCTGGGCGTGACATTGCGAACACTTTCACATCACGCGCAATGATGCGTATGTTCATATGTGCATCATCCTTCTTTGACAAGGATCTTCATTGTCGTGTGGTCCCCGGGCCACAATTGGGCGCCCTGTTTTCAAATTACCCCGACTTGTTTCCAGCAATGCGTCACGAAAAGACTAAAGGAAAGCACATCTTTTGTAAAATGGGACGTGAGTACAAATGAAATCTGAGGCGATCTCTTTGCTCTTTTATATTCTGATGGTACTTTGATTGTTTTTCAGGTAAAAGCGAGTCCTTAACTCCCCTCCCTATAGGATTGCCCGTCCTCAACCCTGGCAAAGCCTTTGAATCTTTTTCTAATGTCACGTTGGAAAACGGCCAAAAGCTAGAGGCCAACGACTTTGTCCTTGTGAGATAGCCATTCATTTCTATACTTACTTAGGCAACATTTGAAAGCTCACAGGCTTTATTTCTGATAGCTCACATCGCATGGAATAATAGCTCAAGTACAATCAATTTGGAAGGTGGAGAATGATGCGCCTGGGAAGTCTTTATTACTTCTCAAATATTGTCAACTGGGGAGGATGTTAGTTCATTACTCTATGAGAGAGATACTTGTAATGGATGAAGTGGTATGTAAAAGTGTGAAGGTCAGGCATTACCTCCTTGATTCCGCAATGATTGCACTGACCAAGGTGTCACTTCAAACAGGAAGTTGAGCGGCTCTTAAATGTTCAGCATAATTGCCACGAAGGGCGCTGTCCAGTGACTAAGACCCACATCCAACGTTTGGAAAGGAAAGAAGCACAGCAGAAGTTATATTGTATAACTCATTCGTTAACAAATTCGTATGTTCTCAACTCAGCATCCCACTATAGTGGGGCAGCTCATTGGGATTTATCACAATATGCATTTCCAAGGGTTACACCCGAAGAGTGGGATCAGGCAATAACCAAGGGCGTCAAAACTTGGGTTGAACAACCTTTCCGTCCGGCAACTAAGAAAGGACCTGCCAAAAAGGGACCGGGCAAGAAGGGCCAGACAAATTCTTCTATGATCCATTTGTCTTGATGGAAATGAACGTATTTTCTTTGTTATTCCTTCCGAGGCTGGTTTTCAATGTATAAAAGATTTGTAAACGTCGCCAAAGTATCAGTCATGTTATCTTATCTGTCAACAAAGAATATTCGATTAAGACTTGAAAAAGCATATTTGTTTACCGAATGCACTACAGACAAACCTTTGGTAATCCTATCAGGATGTTAATCTTTGGGGAAGTTCGATGAGATTCATACTAGTGAATATTGATCACTAGTAAGACTAAGCAATTTCAAGCAAATGTCAAAATGAATTGAGTGTACAACAAACATGGCCAGGCGCGATAGGTTAAAACTACAATCATGAAATAAATCGATGATATATGACATATATAGACCATCACATTCAAAAGCGTGAATGTCAAGTCCCAACATCTTCTATGTTGGAACGTGAAAAATAAGCACGAACAGGATAGGATGAAGGCATCCAATGGCATGAGGCGCTCAAAGCAAAGCAAGAGGAGAAGTACAGTAGCAACATCGTTATGTGATTGAAATCACAAACAGCAGGCAAAACACACGATGCAAAATCGGATCAAACCAAAGGACTGAAGAACAAGTCATCTATCCTACAAAGTACATACATCAAACGGTCAAACAGTGAGGAAATAGAAAGAGAAGAAGTAACAACATTGTAACAAATTAGGATGTGATCAAATGAAAGTCATTGATGCCTTTCTTCTCAGCCAAGCGCAACAACTTTTTACGTGCTTCTTCAGGATAGCCAGTGAGGAGAGTGGCGCGCAACTTGAACCAATCCGCATCATTTAAGTTACCTCTCATGTTATTGACCTCTTTGATTCTATCCACAAGGCGTTTGTTGATCTGGCAGGCACAACCAAAGCGAGTGATCTTGCCTCGATTGGGGAGGACTCTTGAGTTTTTGTTGTTGTAAGTTCTAGATGCCGAGGTATGATGATGAGTTTTAGAAGCCCAGAGCATTTCGACAACGCCATCACATGCGTCGTAGTCCACCACGATATTGTAATCGTCCAAAAAGAAGCGTGCGCCAATAGAATCACCTTGAAAAAGGTTGTTTTTCAAAGAATAAAGTTCCCCGGTGCGTCGGTTGATGCGTGTAAAGAACCCAAATGAGAAATCACTTTCGTCCAAGTCGGTATGGGATGCATTCACAAATTCATCAAAAGTAACTGCGATGTTGGACGCAAAGACTTGAGCGTTAGGAGATACATAAAACAATTCACTAGACCAAGAAGGAATTCCAGATCTTGACGCAATTTCGGCATTGGAGTTGAAAGCATAGGCCGATAAACCGGCGAAGCGTTCGGCATAGAAGTCCTCAATAGCCGGGAGGTTACCTTGCCGCTCCAGGTCCTCTTGCATACGCCAGAGCTGGCCGCTGGTGGTTGCATTGAGAGCGTAAGGACCTGAGGGTAAGGTGAAGCAAAGAAAGAAATTGATTTGCGTAAGTATAAAGTATCAAGGTACCGATTTGATGAGATTATCAACTTGCCTGCTTTTGCAAGGTGGTCATAACCTGGTCGAAAACCAGCCGCATACATCTTGCCATACTTGCGCAGATGTTCTGCAACCTTGTTAGCAGCACCATTAGACTTGCACAACCCACGAGCCCTAGCATGTTGATAGACAGTTGATATCGCATGGTTGTAGTTTTCGAATAGAGGACGGTTGGAAACAGTACGCTCCACAAATCGTGCAACCAATAGAAGCTCGCTGGTGTCTTCGTCTAGGCAAACGACAGTGCCAAAGTGAATCCGAAAAGGGTCAGGTTGTCCTTTTTTGAAGAATAGGAACTTCGTTTCGGGAGGAAGTCCATAAAGCTCTGTTAAAGCTGCCAGTCTGGCTTTACGAGCATTGGGAGGAGGTCGATTCTCGATTTTCTTGCGCTCAAGCTTCTTTCGGATGGTGTGCGCTTTCCGACATCGAATAGTGCTTGGAGACTTGTGCTTGGGCTTTTTAACCACTTGATCCATTTCTAAACTGAGACAACCACTGAACCTGTAGCTTCTGGGTTATGCGTCGAGATGAACTCAAGGTTCGAAGCAGGCAGGTTCAAGTGAGATGCAAACAGAAAGAAGTAGGGCAAGCGGGAAATAAGCTTGGGCTGCTCTTTGCGTAGACGGTTGTATTGCTGAGAGGTTATATCGAACGATCACGAATAATAGAATAAGTAGGTGGAGGTTTCGAAAACAGGAAACTAACACGCTTCGAGTGATATTGGGAAATGAGGCAATGAAAAGGTAAACAGGCTTCGAGTGATTTTGGGAAATGAGGACGATGAAAAGGTAAAGTGAATCTGGGAGGGAGATCTGCTGAAGTTGGGAACGATGGGCCAATCTTATTTCGATTTGGCAAACTTCAATGCCAGGAAGAGAAACAGCGAAGGCTCTGTTTCAGCCTGAACCAGGCCGAACCTGAATTCATTCGCACCAGAATGAATTCACCGGTTCTGGCTGAGCCAGAGCAGCCGTCAAAGGTTTCTCGATGGTTTGTAACCATCGAGCCTAACTCTGGCTGAGCCAGAGGACCCGTCAAGGGTTTCTCGATGATTTGTAACCATCGAGCCTAACGAACTTCACCAAATGCGTTGTTTGATTGAACAACGCATTTGGTTGGGTTTCATGTCATTGTCCTGAAACACCATGGCATGAAACCCAACCGATTGCATCCTTCCAATGGCATCGCTGGCCTGAAACCCTGAGAAACAATTTTAACGAACATACCAATCGGTTCCAAAGGAGCAAAGCCGTTTGCGCACTAAACAACGCGCTCATCAAACATCAGGGACACGGCCGAGGGTGTGGGCAGGGGACCCAACCTGGTCATCTAGGTGATAGCTTTCATTACCGACTGACCCACCGGTCAGTCCCAAACAGAATCCTCACAACGAACTGCAGGCTGGAAAAAAGCCATTCTAAATGATATTGCTGCATCAATCATTTGCAAAGAGAGTATTTCTGAACTCTTTTTTTTTCACAGCATTTGATTTGTGATCAAGTAATCCAAAAGTAGGATTAATCAGTTAGAGGAAAGAATCATGATTAAATCCTTATATCTTTAAAAGGACTTTCCGCCATTGTATAACCAAAGGTTTCCATGTGTGAGATTTTGGGGGTGTCCAAGCTCTTTTAGTGAGATTTTTGGCTGACACCAATTGTGCATTGGTGCTGATACTTCCGGATACAATAGGGGTGAGCCAGGGGCAGCCAGGTAAGGAAATAATTATTTGGTGGATCAGCCTTGAGTCATTCTTTGAGTCATGATTTGGAAACTTTTCCATCAAAGCTTGATGAAGCCGATTTGATCACAGAAGCAAGTGACACGCACGGCCGGAGTGATTGTTTTTGAATGAAAACAAACGCACCACCATGTCATTTTGATTGAATCGAAAACATGTCACATTGTGGGTGTTTGTTTCAACAACCCTTATTCTGACATCAGCTTGAATTCTCACCAAGAAAGACCATGGAAGCTTTTCAATTCTTTTAATTCAAGAAAAGACTTTGAAATTTCCTTGTCCCACTTTGCCCGCAAAGTTTTTCCTCCCAATCTTTCGTTTGCCGCACTGTCTTACTTCACCATTTCCTTCAAATTCATACGATGCCCATTGTACCAAGATCAATTAGTAAGTGAATGGTTCTTCAAATATTAGACCAGAGGGCAGCTCATCCTTGCTCGGTTACAGCTGAACGGATGAGTCCATACTCACGTGGGCCATCACAGAATAGCCGTTCCCCCTCGTTGGCTCTTTCGCTCCGGGCTCTGAACGACCACGTATCTCTACCAAATGCTTCTGGTGAGTGAATTCCTTGATCAGGTCTAATCGATATATATTTCTCATTTCGAAATGCAAGCCTCTATGTCAACGCTGGATATTGGTCACAATGCAACCAATTCTCTTGCTCGAAGGGCCAGTGTTCCGGTCATGCGGGAATCCCCGTCTCGTAGCTCCCAAAGCATCCCCAACGATTTGGGCACAACCTCAACACCCTTTGGGTTATCCCAACCGGCTTCCCAGCGTATGTCTCCAGACCCGAGTGGGAATGATCTCATTTCCAATCCCCTTGTAGGTGATCAAGAAGATCATAGTCGAAGCGAGATCACACCTCGTCTTACAGCCGCTGAACAAGCCTTCATGCAAGGCTTGTGCACCGAGCTTGGTTTGGACGCCCATCACCAGGAGTACGTCCAGAGTCTGGCCCAGGTCAGTTTCACTTATTCCACCGTGTGAAAACCCAATACCACATTAATCCCAGTCAAACCAGGTTGTTGGTCCTGGTCATCGTCATATCGCCGTAATTGCCTCAAATATGGGGTTGCTAATGGAGGTGACCCAACTGGCCGAGACTGTCACTGGACTGGCCGACACAGTGCGAGGACTTCGCGATACCGTTCAAGTACTTACCGAAGAGATACGGACTCCAGCCTTGGTAGGTGCCGGCGCGGCGCCAGCTCCAGTAGCTGGCGCTCCAACTCCCGCTTCAGCTGCCCCCCTCAGCACCATCGAGTCAGACGCAACCACCCCTTGGCAAGCCTCGCCAATGCTATTGGTGAGATTTATTTCTAAACACATTCATTTACGTTTCTATTTCCTCAATATCCAACATTATTTATCAAATATCCACAGAAAGCAATTACTCAACTCGCAGACAAGAAGGCGACATTGCCTTTGATCGAGGGATATACCGCAATCAAAGGTGCAAACGGGGTTTGGCTAACCGACTCGTTGTTCAATACTGTCAAGGTGAAATAAAACAAACTTTACGTAACACCCCGTTAGGTAAACTGACCAGAACCACCTTCCTAGCTTGAGATAGCCAGAAAAAGTGCGGCCTGGAAACACGAACACCTTCCACGTAAACTCCAAGGGATCTCTGATTCCCTGGGTGTCAAGCGATACCATTCTGACATTAAGAATGGATGCAAACACGCCCGGGAAAAACTGCACATTTCTGTGAGTTTTCGTTTTAATACGATCCGTCTTAAATTGACGTTGATTGTTCCATCAACGCAGGTGTTAAGTGGGGTGTATGACTCCAAGGCCGGCGTCATTACAGGCAAACCCGTTCCCGATCTCCCGGAACTCGTCTCCATAGTAAGTATCATGATCATCATTATGTTCATCAAATCACTCATTGATACAATTAAACCAGATTGCCCAGAAATGCGGAACCACTGGACACCACACAAACCCCGAAAGCTTATGGGAAGCGACTGACCAACCTACACGTGCACGTGTTGCTTACCTTGTAAGTAAATTCAACATAATTGCTTTATATATCACCGAGCCTGAATCAGTTGTGTATGTACCACCAATGAAGCGTCGAGAGGCACTTCGGATCTTCCAGAATGGTAAGGGGTCCAGTTCGATATGGGCCACTGTTGACTCGCAGCTTGAACAACTTCGTCTGGAGGAGAGGAATCGAATCAGCAATGATGGTTATACTGCAGGAGATTACACTGCCTCGTGTGTATATTTTCCCTTTTATCAATATCCACATGTGGATAGTTTTACTGATTTGATGACCTGTTCCAGGTTTTATAAGATCATATATGACCAAGACCGCGACTATTTCACGGGCAAGACCTTATTTCAAGACTTGAATAAGTTATACTCATTCGCATTGCCATCTGAAATTCAAATCGAGGCCGGAATACTGCCAACGGCCAACCCTACGCCAAACAACGAAAACACAGAGCTTAATGAAGAAGGCGGCTCCGTGGATCTCTGAATTTTTTCTTCAAATCATGTGCGCGAAACAAGTGTTTTTGGTTACATAACAACAGTCTCTTGTTCATTCAAATAGTGTCTTTTTTTATGTCATTTTTGCAATCGTAAATTGTGGTTTTTATTTCGAAGCATTAGTGAGAGTGGAGAGCGCGCGTAGTGCATTGCCATGCAGACGCGCCTCATCGGGCAGGGCGCCGCCTGATATCACCATGGCGGCGCCTCCCCGCTGCCCCATTTCACCTTTTTTTTAGGTGGCCTGAAATCGTCTGCAGACCGGTTGTGCTCCTCGTCTGCAGACAGGTCTCAGAGTCGACCGTGCGGATATCACTGGAGATCGACTGCAGACGCCTATTGGCCGCCTGAAGACGGCTTTAAGACTCGGCATCGAAGTGGCTCGAAATGGTCTTTTGGATGGTCGAGCTTCAGACGGTTTTGCCATGCGGAGCCGCAGCCGGTCTCCAGACCATCTGCGCAGCCGGTCTGCAGACCGGCCAAACCCTCCGGTGGTGTAAAGTTTTGATTATCAAAATCATCATATGACTGTTTTCAAATTGAATATGTATACAATATAAAATCTTACAAAAAAAATCCTTATGAGAAAGAATAATACAACAAATCTAAAAACTAAATTTATTTTTAGTTAGTATGACAGAAATTATTTATAGACTGATTTAACTAATCAAACTTGATTTACATATCCCAATCTTTTATTCTCAAGTCAATAAGAGTAAGTGAAATCTGGATGTTTGTCTCCAAGTCTTTCCCAACCGATCAAAAACAAGATTTGAGATGGACCTTTTCCGGCATCTACTGAATACTTTGAAGCTTGATAGGTAGATAGGATATCATCACGATAACGAGTCTTTGATCTGTTTTGATAAGCAAGCCATGTCCATGTAAAAGTTGCTAATAGCATTATCCCTATTGATCTGAAAGGGATAGGAGACACATCAAAGGTTATAAGGATCTGCTCTGTTATGGAAATTAGTTTCGGTCTCACTTACATTCCGATATAGATAGGTGTCATGACGTGGTATGCAGGACTTTTGTAAAGGTAGACCAGCTAAGAATGATCTCATGATTAGTCAGTTGAAAAGAAGCAATGGATTAAGAAAGGAGCGAATTGAAATCCATGGTACTCACCCAGATAGTCAAGATTGAACCCCCATTTGCAAACATAAATCCCATAGCGATTGAAGAAGCACATCGAGCATATGGCTCACTATTATTTGCTAACCAAGCTCCTAATGCAGGCACTAAAGCAAATACTCCAGGGATCTCAATGTAAAGCATACCGTATTGTTGATACTTTTCTTCAAAGACCATACACATCATAAATCCACACATTAACATCGTGGCTGATAAGATCACTGACATTCCACGAGATGAGTATCGATCTGAGATGAAAGATGTAAAGAGGATGAAAATGAAGGCAACCGAGTAAGGTGGCACTTTGAAAATGAGAAACCAATTAAGGACTCTGTAAGTTTTGGCGCTGATGGTCTGAGGGATTGATGAAGATCTTGCGAAGCGGAGACAAAGAATTATATGGAAAACCCACTGGAAGCCAAAAGAGTGTGCTTTGGATTCAACCCGAGTAGATCGACAACTGTTTTGTGAAAGGAAACAATGGTCAATACTCGACTTGGATCTAAGATATCTTTACTAGGCCCAACCTTGCGGCTCAAAGTACACAAGACTTTGAGTAGTAGCACCACTAAGAAATGCGCATAAACTGATGAGAAAGACGTGAGGACTCTTGAATAAGGCTGTCAAAACATGATGAGTTGGGATTGATCTAGTGTTGTCTAAGTTTCTACCTTCCTGTTTTAGCCTACTTGAAAGATTTCTGAGGTATAGTAGAAGAATTGGTCAGTATCATATATGAAGAAAATTAGTAAGACTCATTAAACTCACTCTTTTTGTTCGGTGTTGAGAAATTTGCATTTTAAGGTTGTTGAAGGTAAGAAAAAGATTGAAATAAAACCAAATATGAAAGCCATTCCACCTTCAAGCTAAAAATCAATTAAACCAAAGAGACCTTTTGATGAGCATGAAAATTCTATAGCGTGTCATGGTCGAAGGCTCGAGATGTACACACCAAAAAAACCCAAGACCATCCATGGAGATCGAAAATTCCATCCATTCTGATGATGTAGTTTGATAAGAGACTCGAGAGTGCAGATGAAACACATGCAGCCGAGAACACCAAGGCTATGCGCAACTGTAGCTGAGCTCTGAAAGAGAGGGTTACAGCGAGTTTCAGAAAAATGTCGGCTTTATTCATGGAAGGATTATGGAGATCAACCTAGTATAAAAGGTGGCCAAATATAGTATCAAGCCCGGTAAGATACCACCTGTGAAAAGAATATATACATCAGTATCTTCAAATCATCGGCCAGATCATAGGCTCAAAATCACCAACCTTCAACAATGCCAAGGAAGATTCTTTTTGCGCGTCATGAGTCATAAGGATATCAAACGTCAGTAAACCGCTGGCCGAGTTTGACATGATTGAATCTTCAAAAGGCTTACCGAGCAGCCAATAGACTACCGAATCTAAGGACATGACGGACGACTTTGGTCAGTACATCATCAAGTACTCAGTCCTAGGCTTTGTGCTTACCCTCTATCCAAGAATGCATGTGACAAAGTAATGCCTCCCCAGGCCATCAAAAGTAATGGTAGTTGGGTACCTCCACCAAGTCTACCCAGCTGATCAAGACAAAACGTAGCGAAAGAAAAGTATTGATGTCAGATGAAGTAAGCATAAATTAAAAGGATGGGTCCCACCACAAGGTTCCATGGAAGAGCAGTGGCCTGTTAGAAAAGGTGAAAATTTGTTAACAAGACTCAACATGTTAAAGTACATCTGATCAACATGTGCGGCTTACTATACATCCTCTGTGAAAATTTAGCAAACAGACAATCAGTGCAGTGCTTCAAAGTGTTTCGTACTTGTGGAGTGGAAGTTAGAAATCTAGCGTGAACTTGTGTTGAATACTCACAGATGTTTTGCCGTCATGCTCAGAAGGTATTGCTCATCTGACAAATTCAAAGATGTTTGTAACCCCGTAGAATCTGATGATATAACAGAGTACATTCCATCAAAATGTGAATTGATGCCTGAAATGATTAAGACCTACTTACCCAGCGTCCGCAGGTCTACTGATACGTCACAGGAAGAATTGCAGTTATCATGTCATTATTTTGCCGAGTCAAAACTGGTCGGTGTGTATGCAGAAAATCACTTACACATGTTCTTGGGGTCGAGATATAGACAAAAAGTAAAAAGCGACAAGAGTGGTAAAATCCTATCATGGAGGATTCAAGTTAGCTTCAAAAGTCAAGATTGAAAGCCATATGAAGTGATAATGCGTCGCTATGATCCAGGGAAGAACGAATGAATGCAAAAATATGAACTAACCTGCGATCCAACTTTCGAAAAGCTGCTTTTTCCTCTTTTCTCCTCATCAAAACTTCAGATTCGAGTTGAAATTCTTCAGAGACAGAGAAGTCTCGTGCGTTATTGGGCATCGGCTCTTCCAGATGACCTCGAAGGAAAAAATCACCAAAGGCTTTTGAAGCCTCTGTTTGAAATCCATCTCCGACTGATTGTCGAACAGCCGAAGAACAAGGTGGGTACCGACTTCTCTTTGTATTGTCCCTCCAATGAGCAGATTTCATGGCGAAAATTGAAGACGCTTAGTTGACACGATGAAATAGAAATTCGAGTTTGTTGTTATTCAACTTCCAGGTCGTAAGACGATTGAGCTTCTACTGATTATCAATAGATTCGGATATTGTGGTACAGGACAGAGTTGCGAATAATCTCAGCTGATAGAGAGGAAGTTTTCGATAGCCAATGCGGCTCGGAGGCTTCCTCTTGAGGTCCTCATAATCGATACGATCATTGGGGTACTAAACTGCAATGTTTGGACTTTTTGATTTGGGAATGATCAGCTAATTACGAGTTCACTAACCTCGGACCGATCAATTTCAGGAAAGGATGGATGTGTCCTCCGATCGTCCAAACATACATAGTCAAGTTTGTTGAGAACTGCTTGAAAGGCATGGATAGGATCGATTCGTTTGATTTGTTCGAAACCAATACAACTCAAACCCTGGTCATCTCTCTTGATCACAATAGGCTTGGCAAGTTGGCACTCAAAGATCTGGCTGTGGGAAATTATTGCTCGTCCAAACGGTGTGACTAGGTTTCGACGTCTTGAGGCCGTCACTCCTTGCTGTAGGAAAGCACAATTACCGCCAATTCACACACACACCATCATTCAAGCCACTTGATCGACCTCAACAGCATTTGGTGATGTGGGGTCGAATAAAACACACCTGCGTGCATTTCAGGACTGCTATTTCGGTCAAAGACCATGATCGAGTTTCAACATTGTCACAATTGGGTCAGAAGTAGAATGCACTTTTTTCCATCTTCAGTTGTCTGGTGATTTTTTTGCATCTTTACTAAACCTCATCATACTACTACAATCCGGTCTACATATACAACCCTGCCAACGTGACATTTGTTTTTGCAACAAGTAGAACCACAATACAAGATGAACATATATAAGGAACTGTCGGTACATATATAAAGAACTGTTGGTACAGATAAAAAGAACTGTTGGTACATACATGCATACTTCAGATTGGACTCGACTTCTTTGCTTCACTGGAGATTATAGATACAATAAATGCCTCTCGACACTACTACTAGAAATAAGAAAATAAGCCCCGAAACACAGACTCCGCCATACTGATAGTATCAAAATCTCCGCGCGCGCTTTTGATGGTAATCACAATGGGAATATGGGCCTGATTCTATCCCAGGCACTTGAGGAAGAGGTAAAAGCGAGGGTGTTTGTGCATTGTTTTCGTTATTATCAGTCGACGAAAACTCGTCGTTCTCCGCATCGCTGAGTTTACGTTTCTTCATGTCACTTAGCGGGTACTGAGTCGAAAAAGAAGCTTGATAAAGGACAGAGCACAGAAGAAAATCCATCATCAAACAATTCAGGAAGTGATCCAAGTCCATCGATAAACACTCACCACTGAGAAATATAGAAGAATCACCGACTCCTAAGCCGGGAAGAAGACCCGCTGGAGTCACATCATTCGATGTCGTTGTGGCCCCATTCCTTCCTCCGCTCGAAACATCGTACGATACAATCCTCCCCTCGACTGTGATCAAGGGAATCCTTGCTCTCTGGTCGAAGCGCATGCGATCAAGATGATGATAGGTTGTAACCGAGTCCTCCCAGTTCATATGATCCTCTACAGTAGACATAGAAAGCGTGTTGGCCAATTGTCGAATGGAAGGATCCATCGATTGCATAGGTTCACGATCATCGTCGCTGGAGCTGGGTGAGAGAGGTTGTAGAAAACGGTGAGGTGTTGAGGGTGATTCATCCGTCATCTGATTCTCAGAGGGTCTTCGATCCGGAGTGGTCCAGTCCATAGGTGAGGCAACTACGACCATATGCATAAGGTTCATAAAATGTCTCATGAGCATTTTCTCCATCCATCACGTCTTGCAATCAACAGACATACAAGTGAATCATGAATGACTCACACATCCTGAACTTTTAATTGAATTTATGTAATTGGTGTACTTGAACGCTTTTGGAGATGAGAGTGTGAGTAAGTGGTTTTCGAAAAGATTGTTGCGATTTCGTATGTTTCATTTTCACCAGTCTTTTATTCTTATCACGAATATATATGTGCATTTTGGATTGCTATCGATGTTTGAAACGCACGGATGTCAAGGTCATCTATGTTCCTGATGTCAAAGATCCACGGAGGTGGTAGGTTGGCCGAGTCTCGTTCCTGCCCTGTTTTCCGTTGGCCTCTATGAATTGATCAGCCGTAGATTAAGATGACTGTATGTTCGATATCGAACAATGTAGCCCAATTAGAAAGATGTAAGGGTGACCACTCAAAATGGGCCTCTCAATTTTTCAATGGAATGCTGAGCTTCGGAGTAGGATGACACGATTGGCACATTATAGAAAGAAAACTTTTCGCATTACGGCCAGTTCGACATTTGAAAAATTATAATACTGATCAATTTATTCTTCCAGTTGTTTCCCACAGATTGAGACTTCCGCTGATGTTTGTGATAGTAATTTGAAGGTGCTTGGTAGATGAAGTTATCACCATCTATCCACACAAAATCATGTTAATTTCGTCGACTTGAGCAGATGACTTGGGTAGTTGAGTATCTTTTGGACCTTGGTAGTCGATATGATGAAACTTGAAAATTGTCAGAGGTATCAAGCATGTCAAAAGGAAGCGCCCTTCCAATCAGTCACATTCCTACAAAGTCAGTCGATAGCCCACATTCCAGGGACAGTTATGTTCCAAAACGACGAATTTCGACGGGCCTTACAATTTCAAATCACTATCAATTTATCTATTGGTCCAACTCTTCTTCACCATATATCAGTTTTGTGCAATTGTTCTTCTGTGGATCCAAGACTTGATGGTTTATCACGTGTCTTATTGTCACACTAGTCGTCCTACATTGTTTTCACAATTCTTCCCATTTATCAGATGATGCACTGGGCCTGTTCTTAGCTCCGGGCCTACAGATAAGGCTTTCTATCTTTCAAAGTTTACAAAAGTTGTGAATTCATTTACAAAATATCTGAATCAGTATAACTTCTTTCAAGTGTCTGGTTTCGGTGAGATCTTCTGGCCATCTTCCATTTCTTTGACTTGATACTCATTGTACACATCTGGATCCAAAACACTGGTATGTGTGCATAAGGTTGCTAGTTAGGCTCTGATTATTTCAAAAGGATACTGTGTGTACGCGTTGTATTCCTTTGCTATCTGTCTGCCCAATTGTTAAGCTTAACTAAGCCCCAGCGTTGTACAGATGGCCCATATCCATGATGCGATTTTGACAGCTAGGTTGAAGTAGCGGAGAGTAGCGGGAGCCCGGATAAGCTCATGATCGAATTTGGACTTCATGGAACGAACTGCTCCTCGAATTTGGAGCGACCTTTGATTGGATTTAGCTCGGTTTAGTGTACATACAACTTTATACTGAGCTGATCATTTTCGTTCAGCTTGATGGATGCGCACCTCGAGCAATCAGATCATCTGAATGCTCAATACAAATCACCCGTTTGATTGGTCCCTAGACGACATCGTTTGGCGGCCACTTTCTCGAAGCTATATAGTTCATAGCGAACTGAAGCAGCGATGTAAGTCCTTCTCCTCTTCGATTGGTTTTGATTTACACAAGCTTATTTCCTCACGACCGACAGATTTATCATCATTCCAGTGATTGAAAGCTAAAGATGCCCAAGCGAAAGGAGGGTACTTACATACGACACTTCGATGAGGATGAATCGGCTTGCCAGAATGAGCACCAGAATGACTTGAACGAATTACATTACCAGACACTGGAGCGAAAAACAGTTTGGATGTTAGATCTGACGTACGCTCACTCTATATATCTTCCATTTTGAAAGTTTCGAATTATGTGAAAAATCTCACCTTGACGAACCTGATTGCCTTGTAATTGCAGGATCCTTCCGATAATGACAATGTTTTCGCTGTTGAACTTCTTGGACCGGGTCAGCATTGGTGAGTGCATGATGAGCGCACTGACATCTCCAGAAAAAAGAAGCTTAACATCTAGCTTCGTTGATATACAACCGTAGGCAATTTGCGCGTGATCGGTGAGTTAAGTTTTCGATCACAGGACAGTCCTGTGGACTGGAGAAAGCATTCTGTTTCAAGAGCGATGAGCAGATTCATACCCTGATATGTCTCTGGTGTAATTTGATAAGGCTTCCAAGAGGATTTAGATGTTTCGGACATACAGATCGCCATCGCCTTGACGGCTGGCATGATGTGAGTCAATTTTTTTGTCTCGATATTCGGTCAATTTTCTGACGTTTTCCATCTTTAACCATGCAAAATATTCCATCTGAAGACCCTATGTAGTTCAGTGCTTGCTGCTTCCTTCAATCGCACCACGTTGTCCTATTTAGGCTATCAAAAAAGCTGATCGACACTTCTATGCTTCCTGTCTGTCTAGGCCATAGAGCTCCCGTCAAACCTCGTGGTATGTGCTTACCTGAACAGTTCATGAGGGCTTGTCGCTCATGATCTGCATTTTCTGGAACACGTAGCTGCACAAGGTCGGCGCAGGTGTGCTCTTACCACTTCTTCTATGCGGCTTTGGCGTCGTGACATTCTGTTCTGGATTTTTAACTGAGTAAGTATCTTATTGTGCTACCTATTGATGAAAGAGATTGACTGATTGCCCCTGACCTCGCATTTTCAAGCTTCGAAGGCTTGGTGGCGGTCAGGTTCGTCGCGGCATCACTTCCTTGTCACAATCCTTGTTTCCTCTTTTAGCCTGATTGATATTTCAATGTACGACCATTGAACCTCCACATAGAGTTTTTCTGGGGTTACTCGAAGGTGAGAATTGAGGACATCACCCGCTTTTCCCTGAATAATATTTCTGACTTCATTTTCAGGCGGAGTCGCTCCGGGAACTATGTTGTATTTGTCCAGTTTTTATACAAGGTGCGAAGGATTTCGAGTCTGCGTTTCTAGAAGTATGAAATCTGATGACTATGGATTTGTTCAGGAAAGAATTACAACTCCGTATCGCAATTGTCCAGTCGGCTGCTTGCGTTTCAGGCGGATTATCAGGTCTACTGACGTATTTTATATATCAACTCGATGGATTTTTGGGAAAACCCGGCTGGTGTTGGGTATATTTTGTCAGTTTAAAAACTCTCAGGGATCATGGAGTGATGTTGTATATTGATGACCGGCTCAATTGGTAACGAAGATTGAAGGATTGATCACTATCTTCTTCGGCATCTTGGGACTTTTTCTTCTACCATCCACTGTAGAGAAAAGTAGGTTTTTAAGCGTGGCACAACAAAAGTGAGCCCCGAAACGTTTGCTCAAATGACCAAGCTTTTGATTCGCAATTTATTGTAAACTGGATAGAATCGTCCGTAAACGTATGCAAGAAGATCGAGGTGGTGCAGCTTCGGAGCAGAACCTTGAGCGCGCTTCCGTCCATCAAATTCTCCAAGCCCTCAAATCCCCCCACGTGGTCATACTATGCATGTGCGGGTTTTTGGCGTTTACAAATATATACGGGGTGGCCTATTTTCAACCAGTCGGTGAGTCAACGGCCTCCTTATCATGCACAAAAGTACAAATTCAAGTTTTATGTAACGAGTCGTCGTTTTCCGCGCTCAACAGTGATTAATTCGGTAAGGTTTCGAGAAAAAATCTCAATCAGCATCCTAAATTGAAAGTCTGATGAGCTTTTGTCGGACCAGCTCGGATTTGACCCATCGATCACACAGCTAGCAAGTGGTACGTCCACTCATTTGGGCTTCACGCAGGTCTAGTAGATATAATTAAATATTCTCCTTTCGTTCTTGGCCGCTAGTCGTACCATACATTTCTGCCTTCCTAGTCATGCTAGGAACCTCTTACATATCCGACAGGTATTCTTTGCGAGGTGCAACAGCGCTCATCTGTGCCGTGCTTTCCCTGGTTGGATATGCCACTTTTTACTGTCTAGATGATTGGGGTCAGCGGTATGGAACGATATTTATATCTATGGCCGGAGCATATTCCACCCAGCTTCCATTGATAGCGTGGTTGTCGAATAATACCGAGCCATATATCCGAAGGGCAACAGCGATTGCATTCTATGCTGTACTCGGAAATATCGGGGGAATCATGAGCGTCTGGGTGAGATTTCATTACTCTCCCCATACATTCGGATTGATTTCGACCTGACCATCATTTCTGGTGCGTATCAAAGGTTTTTGCCTACGCCGACAAGCCTCAATATTCGATTCCAACAGTAATGAATATCGCCTGGTAAGCGGCTTGTTCAAAAGACTCGTGAACCAAAACTGACTTCTATGAGTCTTCAGTGCGGTAGGAATCATACTCTTGACGTCTATAAATTGGATATATCTCAATTACAAAAACAAATGCAAAATTACCAAACGTGGTGGAATTTTAGCAGGATACGAGTTCAATGTCAAAGATTATGTTGATTCAGAGGCCTTTGAGCGTTTGGAAAGGTTAGCATGGGAAAGATTAGGAGACAGACACCCAGATTTTAAATATGTGTTATAAATCCGACTCAATTCATGTCAGCTTGAGGGTTCCAGCTGCCGCGAAACCTTCATGTATTGACCAGGTACTATCAGGTATCTAAAAAGGATGCGATTTCCTAGACGGATTGTGAGCTGCGCTTGCTTGCATTTGATAACACTTATCCTCAGTTTTTGGTTGCATTTGTAAAGATTGAAACATCTTGTACTTCTTCGATATGAATGTCATGATTATTTGAGTAGCAACAAGGCCTGCTTTCAGGATGAATGCTTGTTCTGAGTGAATCGAGGTAACAAAGTAATTCAGTTTCTACTGAATGCTCGTATGAGTAAGCACTGCCGAATGGTATGTATGACACTGATTGGATTTGAACCAATGAAACTTAAACTGATCAAAAAAGCCTAAGGGAACCGGAGAAGAAACACGCAAAATTTTTGGCGATTCCTGGACCTACAGCTAATTGGATACAGGTTTATTATTTACAATTGTGAGATTAGATTTACAATGTCGACATTCTCCTTTCGAAAGATAAAGATAATCTTGGCTTTTACATCTTTCATAAAACAATTGCGTTTCGTTTACTGCGTTTCCCAGCCCCTCCACCCCCAGCCCTTCCACCACCTCCAGCAGCCCCACCGCCCCCAGCACCCCCACCACTGATGCCGGCGCCAACAGATCCGACAATGGCACCAGGTCCGCCAAGGCCACCAGCTTTCAAACTGCAAAGTCGAGTTCAAGAAGATTTCTGTAACGTTAGATATTCTGTTGAAGTTTTTGAATCAAAAGACAGGATCTTTGCTCACCCTTCCGAAACGCCTTTGAGAGCTTTGTCAGCCTTGGCAGCTTTTTCAGGATCCGGTTTTTTACTAATATTTTCGAGTACGATGGAAATAGATCAATGTCCAGGAAAATAAATAAGATGTGAGAATGGAATTGGGAGCTCACGTTTCACCTGCGCCAGGCTTTGGAGTGGCCTGAGGCTTAGCAGATTCCTGAGGCTTTGGAGTGGCCGGAGGCTTTGTAGCGTCCTGTGCATTGACAGCAACGCAGAAAACCAATGCCAGAATTATTATTGATCGTACGGAGTATTTCATTTTCTTTGGTTTATTTTGATAAAGTTAGATTACTAGAATGGTGTCAAATAAACAGCTATGCACACTACTTGAGGAATACTAGAAGTTGGATATCAGATATGAATGTGGTTACAGGAATCGAGTTTGGATTGTAACAATGTGGATGTAGGGTGAAGCCGAACAAAATTGGGGGATCGGACGAGCTTCTTACAAAGCTTTTTGTGTTAATGCTGAAAGTTTGAAAAACATTGGTCGTAATGACCTCATGGTTCCACGGCGGCATGTCATTCACGAGTAAATTAATGCCCTGGGCGATTCACAATGGCTATATCGACTGCCATGTGTTTCTATCACAATCGCCATTTCAACATTGGGATTTTCATAGAAACATCAATCAAGCGCCGTGGCTTCAGAGGATGCGAGCGAGCGTGGCTTTTGATCGATGACTCGTCGATCTTGAAGTTATGCATGGCCCTTGTTAAGTACATGCTGAGTGCAATCAGCCCATGTACTTTCTTACGTCATGGACAGGTCTCGGGCGCCCAGCCGCCCCGTAACTCAGGGATGTGCCATAATCGAAGCTGCTGACTAAGTCAACACTGTGTCACTCACCACGAGAACGGTCGGGTATGATAGCGAGTGGCCGCAATCGAGCAGAGAGCAATGAGTCCACATTTATCAGGGTGTATGGAGTGGGGACGTCCAGTCTGAGCTGGAATACCTATCATGGGGCGGCTTGAAATCAAAATGAGATGGTGGGGCTCAATAGGCGAGCTGCAAATGCCAAGCGAGTCATGACGAGAAGCTCAGGCGTAATATGTTTTTAAATCAGCAAGACAATAGAACGGTACCGAACCAACCTGAATGCGGTCGAAGCTGATGTTCATGGGCCAACATATGGGCATGAGATGCGCTCATGTTGATCCAAAATGTTGATGTCCGGTGTACTTTGCAACCGCTGTTGATGCGCGTCATTCACACATCAACTGGTGATGCTAGCTACCAGTGGTCCATTTTGTCTCAAATTTAAGACTGCGGCACATATTTAGGCATGGCTCGCTGTGGAAAACATGTGTGTGGAAGCTTTGGGGGACGTAATTTTTTAAATTTTTGTAGTATTTCAATTGCAGGACCAAATGTCAATTCATAGTGTATACGAAGCTAATTTGAGGCTATGTATCACAAAGATAACGCAGTAAATTGAGGCCATAAAAATATGTTAGTGTCATAGAAGTACCCTACGTCGCCCGTGTAGTGTTAGAGGCCCGTGCGGTGTTGGAAGTCCGTGTCATGTTGGACGCTGCGTTTGCAATGATCGTCATGGCATCTGTATGGAAAGAGTATAAATAAGTTTGAGTACGGTCCCAAGAGGTTTAGTGAGGTGATCTTACAAGGATGACCCTCCGTTCGCAAGCGGTTGATCTCGGCAACATGAGGCTTGACATCAGAAGGCGTGGCCGCAGTGGCGTTGAAGTTTGCACTGAAGAGGTGAGACATGGTTATTAGTTTGATCAGAGAAAGTGACTGTATTGTCTTTTCCACTTACTTGATCTGGTCAATGATAGGGGCGATTTTCTTAAGGGCATCGAGACTTTTTGCTCGTTTAGATTCCTCGAATGGGTGATACGCAAGATAATGTCTGTGCTTAGCTTCTTTGATTTCGGTCGAGGTTCCGTTGTGCGCTAGACGAATGATGTCTTGTGAAGAAAGTCCATCCTGTGCAAGTCGCTTGAGAATGTCATCGACAATCGCTACGTCATGGTTGATGGCTTTTGTTTCGGAAGCACGCGTCTTGCGGTGATGAGTCGCGTTAGTTGCGCGATGATGCGTTTCGTGATCGTGCTCCGGAGGAGTCTGTGATGGAGTCTGCTGGGCAGTGTCTGAAGGAGATGAGGCGGTGGAATTGTCGTCTTTTGGGCTGTCGGCTGTGGTGGCCATAGTGCTTTGGGGGTCAGGAAAAGGAGTGGCTGACGTGATTGTGCATAAGGTGGTAGCCGCAAGAATGACAATGACAATGGTGCGTTGAAGTGATAATGATTGCATAATGACGGTGTGTTTGAGGTTCGAATGGATGAGTTGGTTGTGTAAATTGGTGTGTTGTAATTTTGCGAAGGAAAGGGTGACCTTGGATGGACATTTTATATCATTCACGCCATCACAATCAACAAAAGTATTGTCTATCGAGTAAAGCTTGCCGGCCTGTGGTCTGATCTCCAGCCTGCCGCTGGATTGAATCTGAATTGCATCATGCTTTGTGGGCAGGTGGTAGACCAGGTTGATTACAAAGCGCCTGCTCTAGACTTGTCTGGATACGAAGATCATATTTGACAGGTATATAGTGTTCATCTTGATATTTTTACGTGACGGATCGGCCAAAGGGAACGTGGACTGTGAGGATGGCAGTCGACACATTGGGACCGATCGTTGAGCGCATCCAGTCCGAAAGGCATCTTGAAGGTGAAGTGGAGTACAGACCCCCAGACTGGGTTTGTTGGTAGAAGAGCAAATCGGATTGAGCGCATATATCGCTACGATTAATCAGAATGGCGCATCGATGAATCGGGTGAAGCCAGTGAAGTACACTTGCCAGCCATCAAACCAAAGAGTGACCTTCTCAGTTTGAGCCGGCGATACAGGGTCTCAGGCAGGCTTTACCTGCCCTCATCCAGTCATGAAGCTCGAAGCAAACGAGATGCGACATCAACTGATGCAAAATTCAGATGTTTCTTCCAACAGGATTCCAGTCCCCAAAGCTTCATATCGGCGAGATCCGGGGTGGGGTCCGGGACGTAGCTCTTGTTGGAAGATCTTTTGATCGATCGATGGTTTTGAGCTATGTACGAGGTGCTGCGATTCGGTTGCTCAAGCGTCTACGTAGGTGTTCTCTTCGTTAGTCTGCCTCGAGTCTGAGGGTCTCGTTTATATATCAGTGTTGTCCGTTGTGGTTTTGATCTCTCTTTTCTCTTATCGAAACACCTCGTTATATTTGTCGCCGACGCCAGTTGTTTCAGAAATTCACCGTTTATTCGAGGGTTTTTAAAAACAAAATACTTGGGAAATCTTTCCATGAGAGCCCCGGATTCTGAATAATCTCATGTTATAAAAGGTTTTTAAATACAAACAACCAAGACGTAGACAAAAAAAAACATTGCGCTACGCAGCAATGTCCTACCTGCCAGAAGGGGTCCGAGAGGCAGAAGCCTGCTATATTTCGGGGACGTCTCTAAAACACGTATAGCATGCCTTATGCTTGACCCGGATCAGTAAGAGTATGTATCACTCTGGGCGCTGGGCGACACGTCGGATGGATGATAAGCACTCACCCAGACGGCTCGGACAATTTCGCTCGCCACACAGAAATTCGTGCCAGAACTCGAATCAACAAACAAAAAGAGGCTCTGTAATCGGTTTCATTGGTGTCAGCTGGCTCCTCCTGTTCGATGGCTATCGCACTCTATCTCAGTTTGAGGCAGTTACGCACTTAATTGACGTCACTCAAACCCGACTTTAACCACGCATATCTCCATTTGCCACTCGATGGCTGTTTCAGCTAGTGGAGGAAACTATTCCTTCATGTAACGTTTGACTAATTCTCCGCCGAGCTACTCATGTGAATATCTGCGGCTCTTGTGACCTATCGCACTCCCTCATGGCTTTGACCATGATTGGAATGATTGTTTAGGTGTCGCACATAGGAACGTTATTAATATCGTGAACCAACACTTTGCACTTCTTAGACGTCAATCCTTCAATTTCAAGAAGCGCACCACCTCGTCATCACTGCCTTCCTCCGAGCGAAATCTTGCCGATCGCCATTGACTCGTCGTATCAGAGGATTATGACTGACTGTCCTCGGAGGAGTGTGGAGCTGCCTCACGATTGCCCGTCACTGGCTTTGAAGTCACGTATGTTAAGTTTCCTATCTTCAGCTATAAGTGACCGGTGTGCTGTCTGAGGCGGGCAATTGACCCTTTTCTTCTCAATAGATAACGTACCAACTGAATCAAAGTCATCGGACACACATTCATTCATCATCCAAACCAAATCCAAAGAGTGTGATGAGCCCCTTTTCAGCAAACAGGACGAAATGGCAGCGGTGAGAATGTCTGACTGGGTGTAAGTCTCAGCATAGCCATTGAGTATACTGCACAACGCAACTCCGCGCCTTTTAAATACACTTGCTCACGTATATCTTTTCTGGCAAAAATTATTATTCTCTCATTACACCGAAATGTTCGTGAACCCCTATGCGCGGCGTAATACCTCCGGTTCTTTCCCTCACCAATAGAATCATTCCCACAGTTTTCATGTTTTCTTTCTTGAGTCACCTTGACCGGTCAAATCTAGGTAAGACAATTTTCCTAGAAGGATTTGTGAAGACGTAGCCTGATCATTCTCCATTCCATTCGAATGCTTTAGGAAACGCGCGCGTCGCAGGTTTGTCTCAGACCGTATCTCGTCCAGTTTCTTGTATGATCACAACACCCACACCTGACACCTAATATCATGTCAGGACTACAGGAAGCACTGGGAATGAGTAATTACCAATTTTCTATGGCACTGACGATCACTTTTGTGTAAGTCAAGTCTTCTTGCTTGTCTCCAGGTGTTTCGTTGACTCTATGGACTTTTGGCGCACTTCAGGCCGTACATCGTAAGCAGAGTCATTCTGCTGACCTTAAAAGCGACATCTTTCTCACATAACCCATTGTTTTTTATTGCTCTTCATTCTAGGCAGCCGAGATTCCGACTAGCTTGGTGAGCAAGTGAGATAATTTATCGTACGCAACAGGTACAAGATTGTGGATATGATTTTAATCGGAATTTACTCGCACCGCACAGGTGTTGAAGCGAGTCGGCGGAAATGTGATGATACCGCTTCTGGTCACGATTTGGGGCATCGTGACGACATTTCAAGGTAAATCCTTACAGACATGATACCAATGATTCTCATAAACGTCTCATTCGCTTATCAATCATCACCTTCCCTCTAGGCTTTCTGACAAGCTATAAAGCGTTGTTGGCCACGAGGTGCGTGAGCTCTTCGGAAAATACTTCTTGCGATATATCACTCATACCACTCAAGCGTGTCCATTAGGTTCCTCTTGGGAGCTGTGGAGGGTTAGTTGATCCCTAGTTCTGCCGATCAATCTCACAACTACTGACTAGGAATCGCTCATTGAATAGGGGGGATATATCCTGTCAGTCTGGTTTATTCGGCTAATTGTGGCTAGCCCCACATCATCAGCTTGAAAGAATTCACTGACGATTCTGATGCGTCAACAGGCCATCGTGCTATACCTATCGAATTTCTACAAGAGGTAAGAAGACCCTATTATCGGGATTTATGACATCCGCTCTAATAAAAGGATTACATCCGACAAATACTATAACAGAGAAGAGTTACAGATACGAATCGCAATATTTTCATCATCAGCATCCCTTTCAGGTGCCCTATCAGGCCTTTTGGCATACTGGTTGGTCAAAATGGACGGCATACGTGGAATACCTGGATGGGGATGGATTTTCATTGTATGTCCAAACGCCCATAAAAAAGCGCAGGGTCATATATCGCATGGTTGACTTATCATTGACCTGAATTTCAAAGATTGAAGGCATTTTCACCACTTTATTCGGACTTTTTGGGTTTCTAGTATTTCCACTGTCCCCATCAACTTGCCGTTTTTTAAGTGCAAAGCAGAGGAAGTGAGCATCTGCAAGAGATTATCATCATATCACGCTATACTGACCGGAAGTCACTTTGTTTCAAGGATTCTGGCTATGCGAATCGAGAAAGACCAACCAAGTTCTGCCGCAGAACAAGAGGAAAAATTCTCTTGGGGTCAAGTTGGGAAGGCCTATAAGAGCCCACACGTTCTATTGACTTCGCTGGCTCTGTTTATGATTGGTACCAATCTATACAGCTTGGCTTATTTTCAGCCAACTAGTCAGTCCATCTTTGATCACCAAGAAAGGCCCAATCTTTACTCAGATTTTCTGCTTCTGCATCTGTCCACATGACAATTTGATGCGAATCAGTTATACATTCCGTAAGCTCGAGTCATCTTTGATACTCACTACATGGCTAACTTTGCGTCAAAACAAAATCTTTTCTGTCTTCAAGATGGGTTATTCGAGCTCATATACACAGCTCATTTCTGTTCCACCATTCGCCGTCGGGTTCGTTGGTGAGTATCAGAAATATATCCAACAATCAATTCTGCCAACGCAACTAAACCTTTGTATTCATCCGTAGCGATGATATTGACCTCGTATCTTTCGGACCGCTTCCGAGCCCGAGGACTCACTGCCATACTTTGTTCAATCGTTGGAGTAGGTCTTTCTCGCTATGATATCAGTTTGAGACTAAAACAAACTTTCAAAGTCGAGTGTCCTGAAATGACTTCTTCCAGTTACTCGGATATGTTCTTTTTTACCTCAATCCCACTCAGCACAGCCGCTATATCTCACTCTTTTTATCTACTGCGGGTATCTACTCTGTGTCCCCTACCCTCTATGCATGGTTGGCGAACAATAGTACGCCTCACTATCGCAGAGCAGCCGCAATAGCCCTCGGACCTGTCTCTGCAAACTCTGGAGGGATCCTCTCCACCTGGGTCAGTCAAGGACCCAGCTTCATTTTGCACATTTGTTGAAACACATTAATCTCATTCCCTTGAACTTTCAGCTATTCCCCTCTTCTGAGGAGCCAGACTATCGCACAGGGATCACTGTCAACCTGGTTTTGTAAACTCATTCACTCTACTCTTCTCAATGTCATTTTTGCCCCTACTGATTAGCTTACTTTTACATCCACCAATCCAGTTCGGGAGCCATAATCATTATCTGTATGATCAATCTTGCTTGGCTGAGGTACATGAACAGTTTGAAAAAGAAAAAAGAACAAGGTTTTAGAAGGCAAATTGATGGAGGACAGTCTTTTGAGACTTCTGTGTTGGCTTGGGAAGTACTTGGAGATCGACATCCAGAGTTCATTTATGCATACTAGACTTGATCTAGAAACTTTGAGATTTTTTTAGCTAGTTATCTTTTTTCACTCATTTCCTGTAGAAGGGCTCTCTTGAGCTTGCATAAATTAGAAGATTGGACTCATGAGTCTAGATTTGCTCCATTCTCACCAAGCAACAAATTTACGTGGTTTAAGCGACCACAACCAATTATCATATGACTTGAAGATCAACAGATTTGAATTTCAAGCAGCATATTTTCATTTTTTGCAAGGAGGTCAGCTAGCCCTCCATGAAAAAAGAATATATAATCACACTGGAATTTGAGTCTCTGTATCATCACGTCTTACACGGACAATGCTCAGCTGATAGGAAGCAATACACACAAAGCAAAAAAGTGACCAAATAAAATTAAAACAAAGAGGAAAAACAAGCTAAACTTTCACAATCAAGATTCAGAAAGATAACAGATTCTCTCATCAATTGACCTGTATTTTTTAAAAGAAAACATGATCCACTTGTCTTGAATCCCTCAGTCAGGAATCTATACTTTCAAATTCAAGTCGCGGGGTAACAGTGCCATTGTTGCAATTTTTGAATTTTTTGTTATGTTGCATATCACTTGGATCCAAGATCATTGTAGTGGTGTTTCTTATAGTTTACAAATTTGATCACACCAATGTCAATTCAGTATGATAATCCACGATCAAGTATATATGTAACATTTGCGCCAACAAAACAAGCTAAAGGGATGATTAATCCTGACAATTTTGAAAGTGCATGGGTATCTTGGTGAATTGATAAGCAAATCAATAAAAGCTAAATGTGTGCATGACACAATTCCAGAAACAAGGTAACAAAATTGTGTAAACTTAGTAAGATGGCAGGATAAGGCTTGTACCATTGAGCCAGGTCAATGAAAGAGATTCAAGATTGCAACTCCATTGAATATTGGAGTTAGATAGTGGAGGACTGTAGAATTAAAGTAGGAATCATAAAATTGGCCAGATAGAGGGAAGGAGAGATAGGAATATACCGGTAATCCTAAATCAAAATAGGATAACAAAAGAATCAGTATGTACAACTGCAAGATTTCAGGTCCCCAAGATGTGCCATATGAAAGGAATGATGCCTTCAGATTAGATCAAGTTTTTGACTTTCAATTGAAAGTCAAATCACATATCAAGACGAGCAATTAACTTTGCTCTTCCGTAAATTCCTCAGTGTAAGATATTCAAGAGGTCGCATACAACAGACTGTGAGCGGTTCCCAAAGACAATCGAGTAAGATCAAGTTATTTGACAAACATGTCCTGCAAGTCGATATGGCTAGGGCTTCATCAGAACACGAGCGATTGAGATGTGAATCTGAATAGCCTAACTGAGGAAATTCGACGTTGTCCATATAAAAGACAAATCCTGTTCGATATCCATAGTTTTCATCCCTAGGCGATAATCCTTCGCGAATGAAGAGATAGTATGTGATGCTTAGAGTGAGAGTAGCGTGATCTCACCTTGGATTGGACTCGAATGTTCGGACTCCTTATCACTTATCACCTGGGATTGGAACGAGGCATCCCATCATGATAGAAAGGGTCGTAGTGAGCTTCGATTGAGACGATTGTCGTTCGAGTAGGTGGAGGCGCTAGGTAGGACGATGAAAGCAGCAGAGTTGAAAGATCCAAATTTCTTGTCAGCTCGGCCCCGACCCGAGAATATATATGTACTCACAGAGAGTTCGCCGGGTTTTCAATGTAACCTAACGCTAAAACTCAACCATCAGCATTCAGCAAACACCACGATGGCACACTCAAACATTTTCAAGCTCACCAACAGTCTTCCAGATGCCAAGTATGTTCCACCAGATCTCATGGAAAACAAGCACACTCGCATCCCCGGCCAATCATCTGATCCGGCTCAACCACATCTTGTTGTCCCGGGAGAACTGATCGCGTCTTCAAAATTTTGGATGAGAGGTCATGGAACATTTGTTGAAGACGGAATGACTGTAAAGGATGAAGATGCGATGGACGATATCATGTATGATGATGAAGATGGTGAGAGTCATGAGATCGCTCCGACTGCTGAAGGTGAGATTAGGAGTAGCTTGGCTGGGACGATCGAAAGGATAAACAAGCTGGTGAGCGTCCGTGGTTTAAGGGGGCGGTAAATTCTTCCTGACTATTGATTCTGTTTTCTTCTCTTGTTCATCATCCTCAAACGTGAATGATACGTCATTAGTTCTATTTATTGTTATCGATTGCTGATCAATGAATTTGCAAATTTTCAAACTTCTTGAATGTATTGTGACATTAGCTACCGGCCTGAAGTTGGTGATTTGGTGATTGGTAGGATTGCAGAGGTTCAATCCAAGAGATGGAAGGTCGATGCGGGTGGTCGACAGCACGCGGTTCTGATGCTTGGATCTGTCAACTTACCAGGAGGAGTTCAGGTGTGTCACTGTCTCAGCTAATCACAGCTGATAGTCGCCTCCTTCTAATCAGTTGCATCATCGGTCTGCTAGAGAAGAAAACTTGAATCAGATGAATTACAAATGCGATTCTTTTTTCAAGAGGGTGACCTTCTCGTGGCAGAGGTTCAGGCGTTTTTCGGTGATGGGGCCATGAGCTTACACACCAGATCGCTGAAATATGGCAAAGTGAGTACAACCAACCTACTGTGTTCACGTGCTTTGTCCCACTAATGCCATTTTGCTTTAGTTACGAAATGGACTCCTCGTGAAGGTTCCTCCTCAATTGATCCATCGACTGAAATCTCATTTCCATACTCTCTCATGCGGTTTAGACCTGATCATTGGGATCAATGGTTGGATCTGGATAGCCAAAAAGCGCGAATCTGCTCCAGAGGATTCTATGCAAGGATCAGAGCATGTAGAGGGATTCGAAGTCACCACTGAAGACATGTACTCTGACGTCAATGAAGTGAGTTGTCTACACGTGATCCTTCCAAATCTCCTGTCATCAAAGATATCTCATCTCATAATCTTTATTTGTTTGCACGTTCTTTCGTAGGAGATCGATTACACTACACGGCTTACTATCGCTCGAGTAGCCGCTTGCATCAATATGATCGCCTCATATTCGATGCCGATATCCGACATCACTATCGGTCAAGCATATAAAGCGTCTCTTGAAGTCCATTCTGCTTCTCAGTCCATGATGATCGACGATGTAAAAGGTGACCCCAGTCTAATGAGTTTTTGTGAACAGGACTTTCAAGAGAAGGTGATGGCTGCCATGCTTGCTCATTAAACCTGCGTCGTTACCGACAGCCCCACACACTTCAAATTAAGCTCGCCGCTTCCTGCTTCCAAACGGCCGTCGTGTTGGCCTTGCAAAGACTTATTAGGACACAACTATGTGATGGTATTTTGATTTGCGACCCCTAGAGAATTTCCCCCTTTGTATAATACCAATTCCACTCTATACCCTACGCCCCCAGCGTCGCAAGGTAGCCCGTAGCCAGATTTCTAAGTTTGGCCACTCAATCTGATGTGCAGCTTAAACTCAGCGCTGCAAAAGTAACAAACACTTCCCTCTATACTATCTTACATACCGAAACAAATTCGCTAGTACTTCAAAGTGATTTACCAGCTTCCGTGGTTGGCCAATAAATATCAAAATGCGACTTCAAGAAGGGATTGTCTCTTTGTATTCTCTCAAGTTAAATGTACGCCTCTGTTTGGATTGATCCCCATGAAACTCCTACGAATGAACATGAGCGAGCGCATCCTTCTCGAGCCATTATCCGATAGCAGCCTTCATCCTTTAACCGTAACGAGAGCGAGTAGAGATCTACATGCGTTTTTATCTCGAGAAGTTCTCTCTGTTGGACTTGTAGCAGCCTTAAGAGCCCCTTGTCGGCTTGATGCACAGTGACCGGCGTTTGCAGACACAGGCTTTCAAGGGCTTTCAACTCCGAGGCCTTGGTCCTGGTGGTCAATACACCAAAAAGGGCACATGGCAAAGGCAACTCTCAACGCACAAATCGCTTCAGAAGAAGCATCAGTCATCATATTTGAAGAAGGAAGGGTTGAATCATGTTGAGTGATCGATCGAAATGGTGCCATTGGCATTGGTTAGTCAACACTCAATCTCAACACAAACCACACAGCCCTGGACCCTCAAAATCCTGTGCTGGAACTCCTCACCACTGTTTTGCAAAACGATGGTTGTATCACATTGATGGTAAAAGGTCCACAAAAGATGTCCAAGTATGTAAAAAAAATACAAAGCTGATGAAAAACGTCCTACAAACTTCTCAAGGCTAATCACAACAATCTTGCTATTTAGGTACTGATTGTGTTTGCTTTTGGTCTTATGTATGCGGTGGGACCACATTCTAGAGATCTGCTATGTTCTTCAGTGGTGAGGATTAGCGTTTATAAACCTTCCGTGGCCTTCCTTACAACCTAGCAGGAGACATGAGAGCAATTGGAAATCAGATCATCACAACGCGAACCAGTAGTTTGAAATTCAAAGCTGACTTACTAGCTTTATTGGTGATAACTTCGCACTTGACTGGCTCAGGTGCTCCTGAAATAGTTATGTGATGACATTCTGGATGATAAGGGTGAGCAGATAGTTTAGTTATCGAATTTTGCCCTAAATGCACACGTAGAAAAAAAATTGTGCTCACTGTACGGAGTACCTGGTACACCTCCGTTCCATGGCTCATAACTCTCGCAAGCTACGTTATTTGCATAATTGGAAGGGTTGCCACAGTTTGATCCTTGAGATGACCCTATATATAATTCAGCTAGAATAAGGAGTGCTCATTGTCATTAGAAGCTTGAGAAATGATGTGAAAAATTGTTCACCGGGGTGAAGATTTCGCTGGCAATCCCCAATTGGATATTCCCATGTGTTGTGCTCATCCGTGCAATCTGGGGGAAGTTAAGCCAAAAACTTGTAAGCACAAATTCCACATGTCCCGATCGTACTCTGGAGTAGATTCATGAATCCCTATCCGAGAAAAATTGCCAGAATTGCTTACGAGCCTTTCCAGTGGTGTGGTTCTCGAGAAAACGCCACACACAGTGCTTGCTTTTCCCAAATTGAACCAATGACAGAAGACCAAAGGCGATGAAAATATAGCTGCGAGTACAGAAATCCATTTTGACGATTCAACGAGTCTGCAACTGAAGAAGGTATAGGTGATTGAGATACCAATTACTGAGCACTCACTACAAGCTTAAGGGTGGTTATATAGCCTCCAGAGATTCTTTGATGATTCGCTCTACAATATCAAAACACCGGTCTATAATAACAAAAAAACAACCAGGGTACAAAACCCTACAGAATCGCGCTCTTTCGCCATCCGAAGCCCCTTACCAGGTCCCGAGACCCTCTTTGCAAGGGAAAAAAGCCTCTTTCACTGTCGCCATCTACAGTCGTGTTCACAGTGACCTTCAAACACTCACCACCCGTGCCCAAAAACGGAAGCTGTAAGCCTTTGTAAGTTTCAATTAACAAGCTAGAATGCGTTCTGGACTGGGTCCAAGGAAACCCTCGGCATTGTGGATCGGGAGACATGAACCTTGACGGCTGCCGTTTGGGACCATCCCCTTACCTAACCTCTGGAGGACTCCGGGGAATTGGAAACGATGGACTACTACAGGCAATATTACACTATACTACAAGCAACCCTTTTAGTATCTGTTACTTTTGTAATTTTTCCTTGTTTAGCTGTGTAAATCGTTGAAAAGGTTAGGAGCGCAAGTGGTCTGAGAGGTAGACCTCAGAGTCTTGATTATGGACAAGTGTGGAGAATATATAAGATAATGAACAAACAATGAATATGTATACAACACTCATGATGATTAACAATGCGTTTTTGATTTACACCTTGCTTTGAATCTCAATAGAGGTGAGTTAGTATTTGATTATTCTAGAAGCGCTTAACAGGAAATCATGGAGACATTTCCGAACTCAACGTGCAGTTTCAAAAGTAAAGTAATACATTGATGATAGCCTGAATGGCAGTTTTGTAATTCAAGATAGGAAGCAAAGAAACAGCGCAGGGTTCTGTGCACAATTGCAGAGAAACTGTTCACGCAAAGCTTGTTCTGAAGAAAAGCAAGTATATTATTTCCTTTTCAATTGTAAGTCATTTCAAACAAAAATACAATCAAGGAAACCAAACGGATAAGATAACAAAAAGACACCGTTGGTCCATAATGCTGAGTACATCCAAGTGACAAACAAGTGATTGAAACACAATGACAAAAAAGAAACATATCACATCGCATAATTAATGTGGTACGTGACCTAATAGTAAAACAAGCAACTCTGGGATCAAACGATTTGAATAAATAAATCTAAATCTAAATCTAAATCCAAATCCAAATCCAAATCAAGCTTTACTCGAGCTGACCGGTACAATAGTTTGAGTAATAACAGGTCCTACGTGAACGTCAGAGTTTTTGCTAGGCCCCATCTGATCTAAACCAAACTTAACAGCCCGTGTACTTTTCTTAACATTACCAAAGTCTATATCTTGGAAAGCTGGTGTTAATGCTTGGTTAACTTCAGATGCGTTTGGTAATCGACCACCCGCAAGTTTTTGTTCACAGAACATATGAATCGTGTCTAATAAAGCAGTCGCGATTTGGTCGGCAGATGATGCAGCAGCTGGGTTGGATATGACGTTTTTCGAGACCTTGGATGCACTGTAGTTTGGAAATTATCTATTAGAGAATTGGTATGAAAACAAGTTGTGATGGAGAAAATGATGACTTACCGACTCTTTCCAGTTTCACTTTCAGCCACTTTACGATCAGCAAGTCCATCGATAGAGTTCTTAATAGCCTGAGCAACTTTAGAAAAATTTGTATAATCTGAAGTTAAAAGTGCTTGATCGACGGCTTGTGTCATTTCTTCTTGAGTTGGAAATTCGACTCCTGATTCCATATCATCTGAATATTTGGCAATCGTGCTAACAAGACCAACTGAGATTCTTTGCATCATAGCAGAAGAGAGTCCTAATAGAGGAGCGCCCGAACTACAACAAATCAATTGATCTCAAGTTAGTTTCGTGTCCGAATTTTCATGAAAAAAAAGGTTGATAACTTACCGTATATCTGACGGTGCAACCTGGGTAGAGTCTTCATTATCGCCTACGGAGCTAGTACTCAAAGATCGACGACGAATCACTCTATGGATAGAAACCACACATCAGAAAAATACTCCTCGAATAGAGAGAAGGATGAAAACTTACCTTGTAAGGCGACTTCCTTCAGCTGCAGAGGATGCAGAGACGGAGTTGGTGTTGGTGAAATCCAAGACAAACAAAAGAGCCATGGAAGCGGCAACGAAACCATAGTTAATACGCATATTGATATTTGTTGAAACGAATACACTAGTGAGAATTGATAAAAATATATAGACAAACTAAAAACAAAAATTTGAACAGAGTTTTTTGAACAGAAGAGGATTGTGAAGGGTGATATGAACTGATGGTCGGAATGATTGACGAATGAGAATAAGCAGAAGAACAGCTGCAGATTTATAGCCCTCATGCTATAATACCAAGAATAAACCTTTGACCACGTCCATCGTGGTGTTAATGACTTTGCCTCTCAGGGATCATACATTCATGGCCATGTCTTTTCGTTGTGTTTTGTCAGCGCAAGTGAACAATTCAAAAATACCCCACTCGGCATTATTGGCTCAGCTACGACCCAAGTATAGACTCTGGCAAACATGGCGATTAATAACAACATGAATGATTCTTATTAAGCCCTTCGAACCCCTATACATCTCTCATTCCCCTCTGACTCTTACGGTTCACAACAGCCAAGCGGCAGCTCTAGCGCTCGATCCGTAGCGTATGTTTTGATTACAAGTTACTTCGCAACGTTTTGTGGCAAAATCCACATGCGCGCAATCTGATTGAACCCTTTGAACTCGGCAAGATATACTGAACTTAACAAAGTCTCTCGTGCAGGGGTTAAACATAACAAGTGATGCCCGTTAACCCCTGCACGAGGGACTTTGTTAAGTTAAAGATATACATATTCATATCAACCTTCTCTACTGTGATTGCTCAAAAAATAATCCCGAGTCATGAGTCATGATTCATAACAAACAAATAAAATCGAATTTTGAATTACTTTTCAATTCATTTTCTTCATTCACTTTTTCAATCAAATAATATGTATTTACTTATTAGATTTCAATCTAATTTCTAACTTTTTAAAAATTTCTTTTTCAAAAGAAAAAAAAAACAAAAAACAAAGAAAAGAAAATAAAAAATTAAATGAACATTAAATCACATATCATCTATGTATGTAATCATTAAAATCATAATACTTTTTTTATCAATGCCCTTTTTTGGTTTTTCTTCGTTATTTTAAAGAAATAAAGAGATTTCTAAGAAAATGAAAATGAAAACGTTTAATAAAAAAAAAGATGAAAAAATGAAAAAAATTATATAAAGAAAAGAGAAGAAAAGAAAAGAGAATTCTAATTTTAATCATCAAAAAGTTTTAATTGAATCTAATCTAATCTAATTTCAAATCATGAACGATTTCATCTGATTTATCTAAACCTAATTCATCATAAGCCGGTGGAAGTAAACTTGAATCTTCAATCAAACCACCCGATGAGATCCCATGAATTTTCTTTCGTTCTAATCCTCCGGAAAATGGAGCTAGAGCTGGTGGTGGAGGTGGTGGAGTAGGTGGTAATGGTGAAGTATCTTGAACAAACTTCACCCTTTCTTCCTCAACATCAAAAATCGATCCAGCTCTAGGTGAATCTAATGCTTGTGGTTCACTAGATGGTGATAAACATCTTGCAGATGATCCTCCTGCGCTTTCTCCACTCAAGGATCGTGTCCTAAACCGATCTTCTTCTGCTTCTGCTTCTGCTACTTCTTCTTCCTCTACTTCTACTTGCTCTACTCGCTCTACTTCCTCTTCTTCTTCTTGTCCTGTCATCATGGTAGATCCGAGGGCTGAACTAACTATCTTATGAGTCTTGGATCCTAAATTTTTGTTTGTTCGTCTTCGATAAAAGAGTAAATAAGCAGCTGATGATTTAACTTTTTCCGCTGAATCCACTTCAGATACATGCGACTAAGAGTTTCAAACACAAGGAAGTCATCATCAGTTTTCTCTTTCTCTTCATTTCTCAATTAGATTACAAAAAGATGATCAAGACACTCACATCATCAAAATTATGCCACTTTCCATCGGTCGCATTCTTCGCAAAAGCAGTATAATGTCCACCACCTAATCCTCCAAAATGATTATCAACCGCAAACAAATCATAAATCAAACTTTCTTCTTCCTCCTCTTCTACCATCATTCCTTCTTGTACTTTATGACCATTCAGTTTTCGTTCAACAGCTTGTGCTTTAAGTCTTCTAGCCACTTTAATTCCTTCAACTTCATCAGACAAATCTAACCCTTCAATCGGAAATTCAACAAATGCATCTACTTTAGTAGATCTACCATAAGCAGTACGAGCATTACTAAACCGTTTAAAATGAACAACTAAGATATCAGGTACTTTCCAAATTTGCATCGTTTTGATCGCTTGTACATGTTTTTGACATCTTGGACAATACCACATATCTTCTTCTCCTAATCTTTCGGGTTTTGAAAAATCTTTAAAGCAATCTTCTATTGTTAATTGTTTTTTATCCGACTTCTTTAATGATGATTCAATCATCTCTGGATCTTCAATCAATTCAAATTCACTCCATCCTTTAAATTCGGCTTGATTTCGATCTGGAAAAAACGTTTGTGCTGAAACGCTTGTCCATTCACATTCAAAAAAATCTCCTTGTCGTACAATCGGTTGAGAAGGTATAGTTGGAGTACTTGTTGAAGGTATCATTTCTTCTTTTGATTCTTCTACACTCGTTGTAGTACCTTCAACCGTTGTTTCTCGATCACCATAGAGATCTTCTTCGGCGTCTTCGGTACTAAAGTTACCAGGTAAACTGATCACAGTCGGTCGACTTTGAGCTCCATCCGGTCTTCCATGTAGTTCACGTTCCTTCAAAGCTACAGTCGTCACACCCATCCCATTAGAAGTAGGAATAACCGTAGGCGTAGGTTGAGCAGGTACAGAGATTCGGAATAGATTAGGAACAGCTTGTCGTTTGCCTTTGGTGTTTGTCTTTGTTGCCGTCGACAATGGTTCAGCAGATGTCATCTCAACATCACCTGAAGCATCTGTCTTGACTTTTGCCACATCTTCTGAATTGGTTTCTTCAACTTGATTTTGAGTTTCGTCAGCCGCATCTTCCTCCTCAAACAAATCTTCTGATTTCTTAGTATACCTCGCATATTGTTCCACCACCGCATTATAGATCGTATCATGATTAAGTAATTGATCAGGACCGAGGGAAACTAGAAAAAAGAACCCAAAAGGGGTGAAAGAACGACTGCCACGTTGGATTGAGCTACTTGACATGCCTAAAGTACCCTTCTCCACTGGTCGATAAGACACCACCGGTACTAGAATGTGGTCAGAAGGACCGAGATGGACTGCACTCTTTGCTGAATGATAGGTCATAGGAGTTTCAAAGATGTTGATCACATCTCTTTCTAAGATCGCATCTAATTGATCCGGATCTTGCCATATCTTCCATGGTTTCGCTGACCAATCCTCAATCACAGCCATCTAAAGAAAACCCAGAGTGAAGAGAAGGAAAGGTTCAGAGGAGAAGTGATCGAATTAATAGACAGAGACGTTTGACAAACCTTTTCGGGATCATAGCCTAGAATCTTTCCAATATGTTGCTTGACTTGTCGGATCGTAGAATCCTTTGGTAGCTCATACACAACCTTGAGACGAGGTTTAGTATGGTCAAGAGGGATGAAGAAGACCGTTCCTCTCTGTTTCTTGTTGACAGGAAGTTGTAGAGTCAGATACATGATCTCATCGAACTTGATGGCGACCTAATACAGAAATAGATCAAACGCAATCATCGATCAGAATCCCAAAACAAATGGTAAAGAAGATCTTATGGTTTTTAAAATGATAAAACGATTTACTTTCTGACAATCAGGACAAACTAAAGTACTTTTATATTGTCCTTGAAAGAGATCTACAATCACACTATCATTCCTTCTTCTATACAAATTCCAACAAGTTTCAGCCAATTTGATTAATTCTAAATCACCATCACCATCTTTAAAATCCGGAATCTCATCAAAAGGTTTCTTCAATACCCTATTAAGATCTTCATGTAAAGCATCTAACAAGAAGGTCAAGAGTTCTTGTGAATCTTGTTGACCATAACCTAAAAATAATGAATTAAACCTTCCTACGATCGATTTGAATTCTCTAGGTGCAATAGATGAATGAGGGGTTGAATTCCATAACTTTTCAATTAATTGTCCAAACGTTTCAGCTACTTTTCCTCCCATTCCTAATGGATTCACTCGATTTAATTCATTAATATAAACTCTTGATAAGAAGTATTGTTTTAATTCGGGACAGTTACTCATACATTGTAAAGCTGAGTTCATAACTGTTTACCATGTCGAATAGATGAGTCAATACGATGGAAAGGCAAGAAAGAGCAAATAATCAAGACTTACAACACGTGTTACCTAGATTACTGAGTCCTACCAAACCTCGAACCATACCTGGTTTGAGAAGTTGGTTTTGATCATTCGTACCACCTAAGCCAGCAGCTCTTTTCAATTGAGAGATAATACCACCGCCAGTACTACTAGAAGAAGTCTTTTGAACCGAAGCATCAGGTCCAGGAGATTGAAGAGTGGTGATTGGGCCTTCTTTATATTTAGGATCGAGTTTGTTGATATTATTCATTCGATCCATTTGATCTAACCAAGGCTCGCCACCGAATACTGAAATTGAAGTTTGTTGATCGAAAACGTCCTGATCGGGCGGGGATTGATCAGACTTGATGTATAACCAATTACCATCATCAGTTTGTTGTTCAATAACTAAATAGTTTTCTGGATCAGTCAAGAGAGCTTCATTCAGATCGATTTGATCTGATTCAGGATTGATGGGTTCGGGTAAGAGGTTTGAGAAATCTTGAAGGTTGAGAGTTAAGATTGAGGGTTGAGAAGGAGGATTAGATAATCTCCAAAGTCTTAGAGGTCTAGAAAGGATCGGATCAAAGAGATCTTGGACTAGCTGAGTTTTGAGTTGAGCCAGAGTATTGGCAATCGAGTAACGGATTTGAACAGGGGTTGAGTTGGGCACAACTAAGCTACATTCATCTGAGGCTAATTCTGAAATCAATAAGTAGAAATGAAACCTAGGTGGATAGAATTCAATGGTTTGTGAACCTGGACCGTTAGGAGCGATGACGCGACGAGGGATGATCGCTCGAGGACCTTGAATGATACCGTACCAAGACAAAAGTGAATTCCAGAATGGTTCGGCTAAGATTTCCAAATCAACGGATAATTGAAGACCAGGTTTAAGATCGAATTGAGAGTCAAGAAGATCAGAATTATCAATGGGACCTAATTGATCGATCGAGATTGGAGTTTCAGATGGATCTTCTGAATTCTTGGTGGGCGCTTGATGGGTTGCACAGGCTGTTTGCCATCTTTTGAACCAACGAAGACTGATTAGATACCAAGTCTGAGTAGCATCCAGCGAAAGATTAGAAGTAGATTGATAGGCATTGAATTGATTTTGTGGTGATGGTAGATCGGTAGTAGGAAGTTGATTTTCTGATTGAGTCAATTCAGGTGGTGAAAGAGGTGGTACGGTTGGAGCCGAGATAGTAACAGGACTTATTCGAGCTGTTTGTTTGAGAAAAAGACTAGGTTAGTTTACGTGTCTTTTGAAAGGATAGCAACCAGAGAACAGATGAGCTCAACTTGAACCGTTGGTGGTAGGATCTTGAGTGTCATTAGATTGAAGCATTGGAACGTGATTGATTGGTGAATTAGTTGATGAATTGATGTTGGCTAAGTTTTCTTCACTTGCTGCTCTCTTGTTTGGAGAATTAGTTGAAGCTGAATGAAAGTCAGGTGAGATGGGTCTTTTGAGTTTGATGGTAATAGCTGATGGTGATTGAGATTGAGGTGATCTTTGTTTTGGTGAGTCTTGATGTTTCAATGGTTTGTCTTGTTGTTCTTGTTCTTTTGTTGTTCTTGTTGTGGTTGATTGTGAAGGTGATGGTGATGTTGATTGAGAAGTGGTAATGTTGTTGTTGTTGTTGATTGAAACAGTTGGATGGTTAGACATTTGATCCAATTCACTCTTCACATTATCAAATTTTCAAACTCACACTTCATTCCACTTTTTAATGCTTGAGTCTTAAAAATTGTCTATCATTTGCAATCCTCTAATATTAAACTGTAAATTACTCTAAATTCATCTTAAGTTGACTTAAAACCATGAACTAAACCACAACTTGAAGATAAAACTGCTTAAGTTGTATTTATCAAAAGTTCAAATTCGATTCCTGGCCCAAAGATCCTAAAAAAAATGGTGGTCCTACCTCATTTCAAACTCCCAACTTAATCTAGCAAGATGAGTCTACTTTGGAGATGAACTGAAAGAGTAGCAAAGATGTGTGTTAGGAACCTACAGAGTCCTCTAGCGGGAAATCCAATGACTTCAGATCTGTTTAGAAAGATCAGAGCTCTATGCCACCCAGGGAATCAGGAGGAAATATTTGACCACCAAATTGAACTTCTTATTTTCACGCTTTTTGGAATCCCTAGCTTGCCATGTTTAACTTGCCTCTTGCGAACTGTTCCTTTTTCAATTGGATTGTGTCTTGCTTGTGTTCTTCTTTGAATTCATGTTTATCAGAATCATCTGAACTTGTATTGATACAGACTGCAGGGAGTATTTTGGTCTGCCCTCTCAAAACACGCGACATATGTTGATGGGAAAGATCTTGACGTGTACATACTTTGATGAGCAATGAGGTAGATGATGATTTTTTTGTCTTGAGAACACCAACAGGGGTGGATATAAAATGTGGACGGCTCAAAGGTGTCAAGCAAAACAGAGTTATGATGCAAAACTTCACAATGAAAGCAATTAGCCGCAGCCTGGTGACTGAAAATCTGAGGCAGACACGTCCGGCCGCTGTGTTTGACTCTGTGACTGCATATTTCTTTGCAATGTGTTGGCTGGTGTATTGAGAGCAGGGCGAAAAGGGACTGCCGAATAGTTATCAAGCGTTAAAGTCACCCCGATCAATACCCAACTTCTCCCAATATCTCTTTGTGCCAATCGGATTGTTGATCATGACTATGAGGTTGACTTTACTTTCTTTATTAATCTTGAGCTTTGTGTCTTCATACTTTTGTTACCTCGACGAAGAACTCGAGCTACCACTATTAACGGATGAAGTTTACTCTCATTCTCCAACTAGTGCTGAAAACCGACTCAAGCATTTATATTCAGGAGAAGGTTTTAGTGGATCTTTGGTACCAACCCAAACCAAGATATACAACGGAATTATCAACACACTGTGTGAAAAGGTAGACCAACTTTTGGCGTCAGAAACCTCAACACCCAAAAGTGCAGGGCCATCAAATTGGAAGATTTACTACGGGATTGCTCCTAAGGTATTCCATCAAAACACCCATATCGACAAATTATGTGCACTAGTACATGAAGTCGCCAGGCTAGGATACGAGTTTACTTCGACAATGTACTCTTCTGAGAACATTGTACATCATTTATTACCATGTATTAATCTTGCGTATAGTGCTCTCAATCTTGATTCATTGGGAATGAGGGAGAGGATGTGGGTTGTGGGAGTCCTGTCGTGCCTCGAATCTAGTATTCCAAAGGAAATGATATCTGGACTTTCTGGCAACATACGTTTTTTTCGGGGGAAATTTGAACTTTTATTGTTGAGAGGTAAGACTTCCATTATTTGATGAAGTATTTCTAGATCTGAAGATTCTTTCAACAAATGTGATTGTCAGGCTGGCCCCTAGGACCTACGCTTGAGAAGATGTGGCCGACGTCTCTTGAACTTAAGCATTATCCACCGTACTGTCAGTGATGAAGCTTTGTGAATTGGGTGAGGTTATCTGAAGTTTTGTATTCTTCAACAGCTGTCTTGGAAGCACTCCTAAGGGTATCATTAGTAAATTCAGTTCTTCATCAGATGCCAACATCTATCAAACCATCACCAGGATTTGAAGCAATTTTACACTTGCTTCTAACTTTAAAGATGCTCATTAAGGAATCAAATGCATTAGATCTCACAAAGGACATTGCAGCTCGACTGAATGAGATGCCCAGTTCACCAAGAAGTGCAGGTGTTTTTGATGAAGGAAAGGTTTTGATTCAAATCTTATTACATTTGCAGGAGAACCACCTTCCCAGCAAGATTCATTTTCTTGAATTGTGCAAAAACCACAGTATGGCTCAAAGAGTTATGGAGGTTGACATAGGCCTTGAAGATACATTGTCACAGAATTCCAAAGATATACTTCAGGGATTACTGATGGGAATCAAGAAAATGAAAACTGATGAGATCATCCCAGCTCTGACCAAAGTTTTACATGAAAACAAGACAATACTTCAGTGCAGAAAGCTTCTCAGACTTCTTGACTTGGCAAACAGGCAGAATTCACACTATTTCTACAGCTTAGATACAGTGCTTTCTGATTCAATAACACTGAGTCAAAGAATTTCTTGGATTTTAAATGAGCAATACCCAAACAAAAATCATCCCACTTTCTTCAGGTCTTTAGGTTCAGAATTCCTGACTCTATGCGCAAGAAAAAGTAAGTACAAAAGTCAACATCTAGAAGTACAAATCACTAATGAGGGTGTGTTTTTGCCCATCCAAACCAGCGGAAGAACTCACATCATTCAATCGTAGGAAAGAAATTGAGAATAAACTAATCTCAAAGGGGGTTTTGTTGCCTCAAAACATTGAACCATTTGAAAGAGTTTTGGCATGGAATTTTGAAGGGAACAGAAAACCAAAGCTGACAGAATATCTAGAAACAATACATTCCAAAAGATCATCAAGTAAAAATCTTTGGGATGCACTCCGTCCAACTGATCCTATAGTTGAATATGTTATACACATCATCTGTCTTAAAAACAAAGATGAACAGCTACTCGCATGGCTCTCTCATAGGAATGGACCAGGATTCAGACAGCTTTCCTTCAAGGAGTTTGACATAATCAACTTTTCACCCCTCACCAGAACAAGTTTTGAATCTAGACTTCAAACATTTGAAAAGGTCAGATTTTTGAATTTATTTTCATACTTGTATGAATTGGATAAGTTTAACATGCATTCCAACATTGACTTTATCCTAGGAACTTGGTGATATTGTTGAAAAAAAGTTATATATCATGAAGATGGATCAGTAAAATGTGTCTACTAGCTGTGTTTATGGATGTGAGATGTAGCCATAAAGACAAACTTGTCTGTGTTTGGTTCCAGAGATAGAGATTTGGGGATGAGAAAATCAATCTTCTAATTATTGTTGTATGATTTTGGGAATAGAACATCAGATTGTGTACCACAGCTTTAATGTCTTAATTTATGCTTCAATGGCAATGACTAAAAGATTTGCAAACTGACTAAAGGAGCAACACACAAAGACAAAGAATTCTGGTTTCTCCAGGGATTCAGGCTCAGGACTCCTGGCTTTATTCTCAAGAAAAAGTAAGTTGGGGAGTCAATATTTATTATTACTAATCACTCATGAATATGTTGTATTGCCACATAACTCCAAATCCAGGTGAGTAAATTATGATAGTCAATTGCAGTAATGAAGTCAAAGTAAAAATAATATCAACACAAATATCTGAAAACACCAGTTTCTTTCAATCTATTGCGAGACTTGTGAGGATTAGATAATTTTAACATTGATTCCAACATTCAAATTATACCAGGACTTTTTATTTTTTTTAAAAAAAAGCTAAATAGCACGCAGATTGCTCAGTAAGATTCTTTTTATTGATTTCTTCATGAATGCAACCTAGATATATAGGCACAAAAACCATCTTTCTGGGATCAAAGAGGCATGTATTTGGTAAGGTTTTGGAAAGGAAGTTAGGGCCCGTTTGGCTGGAAACCAAATACGGTTTTTGGCCAAATACTCCACCAAAGCCAAAAACCGTATTTGGCCAAATACGGTTTTTGGTTTTTAACAAAAAGAGCAGCGTTCGGCAACGGTCTTTGATCACATTTGATGGCTGTTGACCAATTTGATGCGCCAAAAGTCTACCATAAATCAAGTCGTAGGCTTGCGTAGATTTGAACAAGGGGAGTGCAAGATTTGATGCAGTCGTACGGACTGCATGTCTAAAACAGGTCCATAGTCTAACTTAATTAAGTCCCTCCTCAAAGCGCGCACGTCCCGGGGGAGCTCACAGAGGAGGCACTTACGACTTATCGGCATTTTTTGGTGTGATACCAAATCCAAATTTGAGGTTTCCAGCAATTTTCGGACAAAAACAACACTATCTCATCCACCATCAGCTGGATCAAAAATCTGAATACGCTGGCCTTTGCTGATGAATCTTGTACATAATACCCATCAATATTTACTTGCCTTGATAAGAAGACATTGGCTTGAGGTGACAGTGAAGAGTCACAAGTTTTTGAGCCACAATCAGAGGACTGCGGATGCTTACTCTCTGTCTGTGACAAGGATAGCAGAGATCTTATGTGTTAGCGGAGAGAAATCAAGACTCTTGTAAGTAAAGTGACTGTAATTGCAGCAGTCTCTCCCAAATTTCGATTTTTTTGATTTTCTTTCAATTAATGATATCGCGGCTTCTGGGACAGCTATAGAAATTCTGAGGAGAGCAAAAGGTCCTAAAAGCATGCTTCTATAAATTCTATATAGGTATCATGGCAGGTTTATTCTGTCTGAGCGGGCAGAAATGGACGCTGGAGATAGCCCCCGCCAAAGTGACTTTGGTATCAAGACAAAAATCACTGATAAGTCGCAAGCCCCCCCTCCGCAGGCTCCGGGGGACGTCTCTGCAGTTGGTGGGGCTTGTGTTAAGCTAGGTCCATAGTGGACCTGTCTGGATTTTAGCGTTATTGTAAAACTAAATCACATCGTTAACACACCCATAGTAGATGCTCTAAGATCACCAATCTACACAAGATTATGGAAAATGCTGTGATACATTTTCTTGTGATGTATTTTTATGCAATCTCACAATCTCATCTACCATATATGTTCCATTGCAAAATCAAGTTGGTATGGATTATAGCAATATCTGTTCCATATTACCATTGTAGTCACCTCACTATGTAAATCCTGCTATGCTACGGTACACCACCAAGACAACATTTTGCAGGATGTCCTAACTGTCCTACATGAAGACAATTGGGATGGTGGCCCAAGTCGGGAAATCATTGAGATGACCCTGAGGTGGGACATCCTCACGTCATCCTTTGGATTCCATGGCAGTGTCCTCAGTCAAAGCACATCTTGGAACACTCTGTGACAGTGCTTGCAGGAGACTGTGTCAGGATGTCTTGCCCTCTGCAAAAAAAGAGGACACCCTGAATGTATTCAAGTGTCCTTGTGGTATAGCTTCCAGAATTTTGCCTTGGTATTCCAAGGTAAATATAGGTTTTTTATTTTATTTCAATTGATTTACTACTATAATCCACTGAAAAGACTTGCACAAAATTAGACTGTTTCAGTTTGCAAATCCTTGGAGTCTTCAAAAAACTTGGACATACATTAATTTGGGGAAAGAGTTTATTTGGGAATTAATGAATAAGATTAAGGAGAAGATGGGGAAAAGTAATTTGTGAATCCTCACTCTTTCCTTATATCATTTCATTAATCTTTGAAACCTCTGGAAACCCGTCTCGCTTAGTGATAGGACGTCTGTGTTTGGATTTCATCTGATCATGATGATCTTTCTGCAGGGAACTTGCTTAAGAGTGAGAGGCTGCAAATCGTTATGTATCACAAGTGCATCAGCGCGGCGCAAGAATGGACTCACGTGCACTCACTCCTTGCGTGCCTCATACCCGCGCTTCGAATATGTACCTTGAAGACAGTTCCTTTCACCGTCTATCGCCACTGGCCAGATACAAAACCACTTTAACGCTGGTAGCATATCTCAACCAAAAGTGACCCTGTGGGGTACCTCACTTTGGTGATACAAAACAGAGCAAGGAGTAGGCTGCATGGATTGATTGGAGATGTCAGATATCAAAGCAAGTGACTGAAGTTGTAACTTCATGCAAGGGTTTTGCTTTGTGCAGCAAAGGTTCCATGAAAGCCTCTTCCTGCAACCTACTGACGATCCACAAATGAATCAAACTAAGCGATTTCAATGATCAAAGGATATTCACCATCAAAATGGAATCAGTTTGGCTCATTTCTTTGTGGTAGAGATTATGTGTGCTACAGAAGAGGGCCCGGGGGCTTGAGATTGCATAATTTTTTGGCCCGGGGCTGGAGATTTGAGAAGAGCACTGAGGGTGGCCCTGACTGGCGCTGGACCCCCCACTGGGAGGCCCCCCGCTCCTAGCGAGAAAAGAAAAAGAACAATTTGACTAGCGAAGACTTGTCGTTGGTAACTTGTTATTAACATAGGGGAATGTGAATAATTCGGACTTTTATTGACATGTAACTGTCTTAACAGTTTTCAGATATCTGTATATCTTTTGGTTTACAGCGATGATGTGCATCTTCTGTTTACCACCAGTCGAATTATTCTCATTAGCTGTTTACCGTCGAAATTATCTTCTCTATCCTGATTTCTCTCTAAGTAGTTCTTTCAATTTTGCTCTTAAACAAATCCGTCCATCGTGATAGTATCCCTCTGTGTTTGTCTAAAAATTTTAAAAAAACCGTCAAAGAATTTTTTCTCTGTTATAAATGAGCAATGATAATTTCGACTATGAAGCCGCAAGGATGGTCAACGAAGGTTTGGCTGCCCTTACAGCTGAATATGTATCAGCTGAAGGTTCGACCGGCAAATCTATGGCATGGGTTCGATCAGAATATGCTAAGATCGTCCCTTACACCGCCCCGAACTGGTACCAACAATGGTCCAAGTTTGCCTTGGGTCTTATCAGATTGGATGAGAACGAGAACCGGCCAGTCTTTCAAAATGAAGGACCAGTTCCGACGAGACCAGTCAGATCAGAAGAAGATCCCGTTTTCGTTTTTAATTTGGCAGAGAATCCGGCCTTTCCAGCAGATGAAGAGCAAAGAAGTCAACCCCCTAGAAGTCGCTCTCCACCACCGCGTTCTTCCCCGACCCAAAGACCGCCTTCTCCACTTACGGGAAGTAATAGAGCAGCCCAACTGGTGCCTATTCTTACCCAAGAGCAAATCAACAATGCTCAAAAAGCATGTGATTTGTTGGATTCCCGTCCAAAATCTCCTCCGAAAAAAGGAAAAGAGAAAGACAAGAATCAAGACGATGATGCCGATTCTGCAGTATCATCCGAGTCCGATGAAAAATTGGCTAAACATCAAAAGAAGTGGGATTTCTACCCTAGGACTCATGTGGGCCCTATTTCGAAAGAGCATTATTCGCCAAGCGCAGTGCGTTTCTCAGCAGCGACAAAAGGTTATGCATCGAGTCTTACAAAAGCAGTCAACGCCTTTAATGATAGCGTCAAACCCCCAGATTTCCCTGATAATTTGTCTAAAGAGTTACTTCAAGGAAAATACATCGACTTACGTAGGATCAAAGGTGAATTTCTTGCATCGAAGAAAGGCATGGACCCCTCTCTTATCGCAGAAGGGAGAGAGAAAAAGCTGGTTTTGCAGAATAGGACATATTCAAAAGAGCTTAACGATGTGCAAGAATGGTTTTACTACTTTGATATATTACAAAAAACCTATCAAGAAGCCTTTCCGAGCTGCTATGAAGATTTCTTACTATATGCGGGGTTCATCAAAGATTTATTTATGTCTGATGGCTTGAAAGCAGACTGGATTTGTGTGGCCAATTTTGATGCTGCTCTTAGAGGAAAATTCACAACAAAGCAAAACCTATCTTTTGCGGATTGGGCACACCCGAGCTTATCGACTCTCAAAACGAAGTATATGCAGAACGCTTACAACAACATGGATACATCTACTTCAAATAGTACGTATTGCCATCAAGAACCTCCTCAACAATCGACTTCTAGCTCTTTTCAGAATCAGATGCGCCAAAAATCTACTCCAAGACGCCAAGATTTTGTCCAAAAAGGAAAAGATTCGCCAAATCTTTATGACCATTTGTTTAAACATAAAGATATCTATGCGATTGAAGATACAAGAAATCTGCAAGATGCTCAACAATATTGTTTCGGTTGGAATAATGGTTTCTGCAAGTTTGGGTC